AAGGATCACCACCTACTATCTCCGCATGGAAGAACCTTTACCTCTCCTTTCAGGCTTGCCTGTCATTTTTTTTTTTGGATTGGTCCTTAATTCGGAAAGGACAAGAAACCAATGAACGTAGGATTTTATATTTAGTTTTTGCTGCTTAGCCTCTTCCCTGGCTCTAATGTTCCCCCTCTCCATTTGCTTCTGCCTGCCCTTCTCCCTGCCTTATAGAAGGCCAGGCAGTCTATTGCCACAGGTTTTTTCCCCTGCAGGTATGCCTCCAGTGCCGTTACTATAATGAAATAAATAACAATATTTTAAAAATACAATTAGTTGCAGAGTGCTTGGGAGGAGAAAGATTGTTCTGGCAGAGCGAATGAACTGCAGACGTGCCTGGCCTCTGCTGTGTGTAGCCCAACCATTGCTTCAATACCAACATTTACACAAAAAACAAAACAAAATTCAAAATATATATGAAAATAAAAATGAAAAAACAACTACTGTTGTAAACGTGTTGCTGAGCTGGAATATAACTGGGCACAGCAAGGATAACAATATAGAAGCACAGGAGAGGGTTAACCCCTGTATTTAAACATCCTGGCTAAAATGCAAACTTTGTCTAGCCTTGGCTCATTCAGCTGGTGTTGTCCAGTCCCTTCTAAACAAATATGTATCTTGCAAGTAAGTTTCCTGTGTTCCATCTGAAATCTTTCACACCCAGTTAAGATATACAGCTGGTTATTTTTTTAATTTCTGTGAAAAAAATGTTTATTAGAATGTTATTTAAGATTTGTGGAGATACCAGAAACAAATTCGATAAGACCAAATTTACTGTATATATTATTAGTGAAAAGAACATGGGACTTATATAATTGCAAAAAAGCAATATGTAAAGTTATATTTACTTCCTGTCTTAAGCTGGCCATAAACTGGTAAACTTTTCGTACGTTCATTAGAAAAATCTTGTCAGAACCTTCGATAATGCCATAAAAGACTTAAAAATATTCTTTTAAGTCTTTTATGGAAGTATTTAAGTCTTTTATGGAAGTATCTAAGTCTTTTATGGAAGTATTTAAGTCTTTTAAAAGACGTAAAATATTGTCCAAAATTCCTTTGATTTTAACATTCGATTTTGGAATGAATGGAGTTCCCTGAACAAAAACCCCAAAAACATTGAGAGGGTTATTCACAAAGGTGCCGAAGGCAGCCGAGTGAGTAACCTAGCCGAAGGGCAGTGAGCCGAACGCTGTTCGGTTATTCACTTCTGGCTTGTACAGCTCATTTCAGCCGTACAACAGCTAAAATCAGCCGTACATCGGCTGCATTCGGTCAGCCGAACATGGTCTGCATGTTTGGCTGAGCCGAAGTGCAGAAGGACTTCGACTCAGCCAATCCAACATCTGGATCGGCTGAGCCGAAGCTCCGGCAGCTCACTTGCTGCCGTTCGCCCCTATACTTATAGGGGCCGAACAGCAGTGAGTGAATAGCCGAATGCCGCAGTGCGGAATTCAGCTCAGCTATTCTGCTCGGCTATTCTGCTTGTTACCTTTGTGGTACCGAGCAGAATAGAAAATAAGTGCAAAGAATGTGAAAAAAAATTTGCAAAATGATTTTAAAAATGATAAAAAATAAGAAGATTATAAAAAATATATATTTTAACGAAAAGAAAAATAAATAAATCAATGAACAAGAAAAAAAGCACAATTGGGCAGAGCTAGCAGTGACAGCTAGCTCCGCCCAACTGTTTCCTATTGGCCAGCACCTGTCAGAGTCTTATAGCAGGTCACGGCCAGCTCCGCCCACTTGTCATTGTTTAATGACAGATCAGCATCCACTGGTCATTTGGGGATGCTAGTCTGTCGTTAAAAGTGGGTGGAGCCAGCCATGAGATCACGGCTGGCTCCACCCAGCTGTCATTTGCGGGGATTACGGCTGGCCTGTGCCAGTCACTTCGGCTCAGTAGAGCCGAAGCATATGCCTCCGGCACGGCTGAGCCGTTCGGCCGCCTTCGGCTGCTGTACGGGCTAATGTGAATAGCCTGTACAGCGAACCGAAGGGCTCCAGCGGCCAAAGAGAGTCGGCTACGGCTACGGCTTTATCCTTCGGCTCAATACTGAAAAACCCCCTTACTGTTAAAATGTTCCTTCCTGTACATTTTTTTTGTCACTATGCACAACCCCATCAACTATTAGGACATTGAACACACATTCCAAAAACTGATTTTTTTAAACGGAATTCTTCTGGTGTAAGGCCAGCTTTAGACTGTTGTCACTTGGACAAGTGTCTCCATTTGAGGACTTCCCCTCTATTTCTGTTCTGGTGACAACTTGAAATTTTGGACTTGATTACTGTAGACAATGGTCAACAATGGTCAACAAGGCGAAACAGAGAGAGTAAATCTCCCTAGGACACTTGTTCAGTTTGGTTAATGCATGGATCAATTCTTGCTGCCACTTTGCTCAACATTGTACTCACCACACTGCATTCAGCTCTGGGCAATATGACGATGAGTACAGGCAGTGCTTTTTACCAGAAAGATCAATTGATTTTCTGTCGTAGACCTATTACCTGGGAACACTTATTGTGAAGGCATTATGGAAGCCTAAGCACTGTAACAAAATTAGTAAGATTCCAATTACTTTCTCAGTCTCTCTGTATGTCAGTATGATAAAGGCTTCCTTACTTGTCATAAGTAAAAAACACATATACATGTTTTTCTTTTTAATATGTTTTTATTGAATTTTTTTTGCAGATAAAAAAAAATGCAAACATAATTGGAGAAAACTGAATAACCATAGAATCTCACAGGGTTATTCACAAAAGTGTGAAGAGTTTGGAGAAGGCAGGAGAATTGGACAATCTAGGCCAAAATAGCTGATTTGGAAACATTCTCCAATTCAGATCACTTTCCAGTTCAGCTATACTGTCCTAGATTGTTTACATCTCCTGCCTTCTCCATACTCTTCACCCTTATATGAATAACATTGTCAATGTCTGGGATCTCCACTGAACTCCAAGAACAAAATCGTTAATCTAAATATATTCCTCAATAATCACAGGATATAAATCTACTTTGTGCGCCAAATATCTTTGCAAATTGAGATAATACCAAAAAAGTAGCCGTGACATCAGTTTTGTTCTACACATAACTTGCAGCACCCAGCAGATGACTATAGGAGGGGGCAGATAACTATTCAAGACTATTCAATCTTCACAAAGAGAGAGAGAGCAGAAGTTACTGGTCTTTATTACAGGAAGCTCCTTCACAGAGGCAAAGTTTTACACTAGACTACTGCACAGGTCTGGAATAAATACACAACACACACCAGGATTCAAGAAGAACATACATAACTTTTATTTTTAAACAGTATTTGTTTATCCCGGAGTTCAGCTTTAAGAGTCAAATACAAGTCAATTATACATAAGAGCATGTTATGTTGGAGTAGGGTTTCTCATGTCGCTGTCCTTCACTTTCCCATAAAGTCAACCTAAAACATTAAAGGAGAACTATGGGGTTAAGTCTTTTCCCCATAGTTCTCCTTAGGGTAACGGGAGGACACAAACTAGCGTCCTCCCGTCACCCTAGGCTCAGTATATCGCGAGCTGTAGCTCGCGGTATACTGAGACGCCGCAGTATACCGCGAGCCGCAGTATACCGCGAGCAGCTATACTGAGACGCCGCAGCTGAAGCAGATCCCGACAATTGTGCCGGGACCCGCCCAGCTGCGTGACTGACAGCTGGCTCTGCCTATCTAAAGGCAGAGCCAGCTGTACCCGCCCCCTCCCCCGTCCGTTCCGCAAGTCAGCGCTGGCGGATCGGAGCGGGGAGGGGGGAATCCAGCCCCTCCCCTGTCACGGCAGAGAGCTGTGACAGCATCGAGAGGTGAGCAAACACCGGTATGTGTTCGCTCAACTCCCGATCTACTGAGCCGACCTGTGACAGTCTCATTGTCACTAGTCGGCTAGAACTATGAGGTGAGTGAAAAGTACTCACCTCATAGTTCTCCTTTAAGTAATGCTTATTTCACCTGTAAAGAGTACAAAATAACGGAGAACCACATTCACCATATTTGTAGTACAATGTTTAGGTACATGCAGCAGATGCCCATTCATCAGACCTCCGCAATCTGATCAAAAGTAAAAACAGCTTACAGAAGTTTTGGGACCAGGTTCAGGCGATGACCCAAAGATTCTCTGAGCTTCCAGTTCCAAGAGACCCAGCCTTCTTTCTACTCCAACACAATTATATTTCAATTAAAGCTTATAAACGCTCAGTTGTGAGGCATTTGGTTAATTCCGCATGCGCCGGTATCCCAGCCTTGTGGAAGAGACCTGAACCACCTAATTTATGTCAAGGGTTAAATTTCAGGAAATTTACATTATGGAAGACCTTACGAGCTCTATAAAAACACCTCCGATAGGTTCCGGAAAACTTGGTTTCATTGGAGGGAGTTTATAAATTGAGCTGAGTATCTCACAATAAGACGAGACTCATTTATGTCTTCATTTATTTGTGTAAAGATAATGATCTGTAAAAGTTTCTTCTTATGTTTTATGTTGTATGTTTTTTTTTTTAAATATATAAAGAATTTAAAAGAAAAAAAAAAGGTAAAAACAGCAAGCATTCCAACACCTCAGAGTTAAGAATGGTGACATTTTCGTTATGGAAAGGAGCTGCTGGAGTTTTTATATGTAAGCGCTAAATAATGGGTTTCTAAAAAGGGGAGTTACATATATTAAAAAAGTTACTGGGCCACCAACGTATTAAATAGATCAAAGCTTTTCTCGTCCTCCTGCTCAGCACTTGACACTGTAGAGAGAAAGAGACATACAACCTGTACAATTCCGAGCATGCATGACAAGGGGAATCAGATTTTGGGATGGGTCTATCCAAGTAACTAAAAGCTCTTACATAATAAACACATCCAGGTTTTAAAATATGTTTCAGTGTAATTTTCTTTACTGAGTGTTGTTTCTAAGTAATCATACCAAAAAAGGTAATAATATTTGCTAGCAAATAAAGCAAAAAATATTCCCCAAATTACAACTTCGTAGTCAGCTCAACACTTCTACTCAACTCTTGTACCCTCAAATGACAAATCTTCTTAACCTCTTCAATTCCTTTTAGAAGTTCTTGTGATGGATCATTTTGAAGGCGAGAGCATAATTCCTCCATAATTTTGTATTTATCTGACATTTTAGCACATATAACAAAGGGAAATCCAAACTTCGTCTTGTACTGGGAATTAAGGAGGCCAAGTGTTTCACGCTCTCCACTTGTAAGGGAGGTGAGACCAGCTTGTCTCTGCTCCTGCTGGGATTCCATTGTCAGTGATCCACTTGTTAGTTCTCTCCCGGCCAGGTCAGGGTGACATCTCAAGATCCCTTCTTTGCCTACGTAAAAAAATAAATACATGAAAAAAAAACCATTACAATTAAAAATTCTGGTGCCGAGTTTCACCTGATGCTAGATTGTAGCAAATATTGTCACAATAGCAAACAACAACAACAAAAAAGGTTAGACTTACCACCAGTAAGGCTTTTGTTGGCAGGGTTGTGATTATATGGTAATAAAAACATTTGGTCAGTACACTAGGTAACCAAGAGAATAATGTAATAAGCTTGTGGAATTTATGGCTTCCCTCAAGCAGGGACAAGATAAGAACTTTAGGATATTTCCAGTCTTTTCAAGCTGAACTCTTCAAGGCTTTGATGTGTTTCAGCCTACAGAGCCGGTCTATTCTTATGCTGGGGTGGTTAGTGGAAGTGTCTTGGAACCATTGTTGAATGCAGAAAAATATTTTCTAAGGTGACTGTTGTATTTATACACTGTCAAAGCTTGGAGGGGGTGGGTTGTAAGTTGGATGTCTACTGGGAAAGCTGAACATTTCTATTTCAAGCTGGCCATACACTGATCAAATTCTGACCAAGTCCTGCTGACTTGGCCAAAATTTGAGCAATGTGTGCACCCTCCACTTCAACAAAAATTGATTTTTCACTCCACTTTTGTCAAAGGAGTCAGGGGAAAAATTGTCCGCCGAACAGTGACTGTATCCAGTCAGATACAGTCACTGGTCTGAAAGCGGCGGGAGCCGGCTATCAGAATGCAAAAGTCCAAAAGGGGAAGATTCCTCATCAATGCTGTTTAGTGTAGATCTTTGTTTTATCTTTTCAAATGGGCTAAAAGAAAAAAAACATCTTCTAGTGTATGGCAAGCCTTATATTTATTAGATCCTATAGGTACTAATGGTGGGCTTATGCTGGCTATGGAAAACCAGATATTTAGGATGACAGTTGTATATGTCACGTGTGATCCAACACATTTACAAAGCATTTTATGTTGCTAATTGGTTAACATAATACACAGGGAAAAACACACAAACAGAAAATACTGTTAAAGAACGAATTAAAGGCGGATGTGAGGAGGAAATGGAAATGAAGGTTTCTCTGTTATTACATGCTTGATGTACAAGCTCTGGATTGTAGACACTGCAGGGCGATCATGATAAACAGGATGCCAGGACTGCAATGTGCCTGGAGCTGCCTCAGGTTCTATGTAACTCTTTGATATTCATATACCCAGCAGCCCTTTACACACATTGTTCTGCTAAATGATCCTTTCCCACACATACCCAAATATATATTTAAGAGGAAGAACATATACAATATGGAAAATGAGAAGATTTGCCATCATATGGAATAGTAGTTGTTCTAGACCAGCCTTTCTGGCTTCGTCGGGAGTGCCTTGAAATTTTGTGATGGTAGGAATCTGATGTGAAAGAGGGAATGAGGACTCTGATGTGAAGGAGGAATCTGAAGTGAAGAGGGCTCCTAATGTGAAGTGGGCACTCTGATGTAAAATGGGGGCTCTGATGTAAAGGGGGGACCCTGGTGTAAAGGAGGACTTTGATGCAAAGGGTTGATTTTAATGTGAAAGGGGGTCTCCTTACTTGAAGAAGACTCATAATGTGAAGGGGGGGGGCTTGTGATGTGAAGGGGGCTCCTAACCTGAAGGGGGTGGCTTCAAAGTGAAGTGGGGAACTCCGCTTGTTGGTGGTTTTTTTGAGTGGGCCCACCTAAAAATCTGTTACATTTTAGACTGGGATGCCTCAAGATTTTGCATACTTTAAAGGCTACCATGACTGAAAAAAAGGTTGAGAAACACCACTCTAGATGTCCAGGACAATTCTTTGGAATAAGCTATGAATCTATATTATATGCCTTTCTGAAAAATATTGTTTTATAGGGTACATTTATTGTCTGATGGCAAATGTAAGGGAGTTCTAAAGAAATTGATAAGCATGAGAGAAGTCCTGGTAAACAGGGAGGAAGATAGAACAAGCTAATGAGTAGAGTTTCTGGATTACTGTATAGAAACAAAAAAAACAAAAAAGGAGTTATCAGAAGGTATATGCTGTATATAAACCTTTTAATGTTTAAATTTAAATATTTTTGGATTGTTCATAAAAGCCTTCTAAAAAAATGATCTTATCATAAATTGAACTAGTTTGCACAAGGTAATTGAGGGGAAAAAATACATCACACTACCATTTAGTAACATGGAGAACCTCATTTGTTTGGGAATAACTTGGAATAAATTCTTCCTATAGTTTCTTGTCAGACCTGTCCAGCATTTAGAACATAAATTAGCCCATTACTGTACACAAAACAGTATTACATTATATATATATATATTCGGGATGTCTTGCTTAAATAGCCTGCCTAAGATTATGCTACATTATATGCATTCAGATTAATCAACTGTGGTAGAGCCTGGTGTCTATAGGGGGCTGGTGTTTTGAGAGCCCCTGTTTTCTTTGGGCCCCCTCTCTTAGCGCTTGACATAAGCAATCATATAGCCTGACATCAATATAGCAGATGGCTCATATGCTTACTGCCCTCTGTCTATGGAAATGCCAGCCCAAAAGCCCATTGAGTCTAATTGGTATCCTGGGTAGAGAAATATTTAAAAAAAACAAACCAGTTTTTTAGAAATATAAACATAATTAAACAATGTGGACTGACGGATTGAGTGGAATTTGTGGACACACTCCATTCATAAATCAGACCAATATGGGCGTATACAAATCTCATACCAGGTGGATCGTTTTACGCATTTCTAATTTCACTAATACAATAGCTAATCTATTATATGATTCTTTCTGGAAAGACACCCAGATCACCAGATTCTTCAAATTTTACTTGTAAATTAATTTATGATTTCCTAAGTCGTCCTTTGATTTTCATTCTGTATAATTCTATTAGGGAATATAAGCCATAATAATAATGATATACCCCCAGTAATTGTAAAGCAAGGGAAAATGGCAGTTTATGTAGATACATTATTTGTTTCAGATTGTATCCCATTTGTACCTAAACATCTGTCATTGTATTTGAGACCTATATCTGTCAATGGCCGGCATAAAGCCATACAGAAAACTGAAAGTCATACCAAAATAAACTCTGCATTATTGGTTTTTCTACAAACCTATATTTGGAGAAGACAGGGGAATATGATTAACATTTGGTTCTACTGTTATCTAAATGCAGAATGTGTTACAAACTCAATGTATATCTTTTACATATACAGTATGTACATTTATTTATATATTATATACAGCCAGAGCTAATATTCACATTTAGCATGATTTAATCCAGCCATGAGACTTGTTATTTAACAGTGTTCTGTTAAAGTTAGACATAGACATATTCTAGTGAATAGACACATGGGCACCCTACCACCGAAAGTTAACTTTTTGAAACATCTGGAGAATCAACATGGGATTTCATTACAACATTTGTATCAGATGAAAGTGGGGATAAGCTAACACCCCCAGATCCATTCTTATCTTGGGATCAAGATAGCCATTGAAAAAAACCTAACTTGCCCTATTGACTGTTTCTTTAAAAACGATTGGCCAGAGGTGTTGACCTAGCAATGCATTAAAGAGACCCTGTCACAAACGTAACAAATTGCAGTATAATGCATTGAAAAGTTTTTGAAATGTTTCCTTGCAGTATTTTTCCTTTCTATAAAGTATCTTTATTTACTTGTGAAGTGTCTTTCAACTTGGTAGAAAACCTGACTACTCCAGGAAGAGTCAATTCCTTTGCACAGGCCCCACCCTACTTGCATGTATAAGCTCTCTCCTCTTCTGGAAGTGTCTAATTACTCTATTGGCCTTCTCCTCACTTCTTTGGATAACCTTTTATGTAGCAGCCAGGGAAGGCGTGAAGGGAAATAATATAGAGTGTAACTTGAGTGACAGCTCTGAGTTCAGGGCTTTTCGATGTCTACACATGGTGAATGCATATCTTATGGATAGATTTTTTGTTATTGTAAATAAGTGGACTGGTTATGGGGCCTATTTAAGGTACAACAGTTATGAGAGGAAAAAGGAGTCTGCCATTACTGAACTTTCCTGTTGAGAAATGGATCCCTGGCTTCGGGGGGGTTGATGGGGTCCTGGTGGTGTACCGCCCAGCTCTGGCCAGCATCCTGCCCAGCTCACTGACGTCACCAGTTGCCAAGAGCTGTGTGGGACAGCGGCCAGAGCATCATGCTCAGCTCCTGGTAACCTGGTAACCAGTAACATCATTGGTTGACAAGAGTTTGGCGGGACACCGGCCAGACTGTCCCAGATTGCTAATAGCTGGAAGGGGAGATGTGTATGGCCTCCCCACTCGGCTCTTCGCAACCTGGGAAGCTCTGGCCGAAAAGAGGGCAGCAGGCAGAGACCCACGTGACCCAAAGAGATGCCACCTGAGGCAATAGCCTCAGGCTGCCTAATTATAGGGATGGCCCTGTCTGGCTGTCATGTCATGTTTTGGATTCAATGCTGAATGAGGCACAGACCTGTAACAAGCATAGATATAAGAAATTCTGCCACTTCTTTGACACTCATTTACAACATAATTGTTGCAGGTCTGGGACTCAAAAATCTGAAACCAGAAAAATGCAGGGCACACTCTCCCCAAGTCTGGTGCATATGTGTTCTGCTCTGATTGGCAGGGAGGGTTATTGGCAGTGACAACGCTCATTAACCTCTTTCTCAGCATACAAAAGTATGCTGCTGCAGGGGGTGACACTACTACAGTAAATTCACAGCAAGTGAAATAGCAATATCACCCTGAAAGGGCCATGGGCAGACATGATCACAAGATATTTAATAAACAACTTGTATATGATTGCCCCATTACTATTGTGCAATAGGAATTGTGTTGCTGATCAGTTGACAATTAAAAAAGTCAAATAACAGATTTAAAAAAATACAAAACTGAAATTATAAATGATTAGTGATTATTGTTATTAGTAAGTCTGGATTTAATTATGTGATTATACAGTATGAAGGGAATGTATCAAAACTGGAGCAGACAAAATCGGGAGCAGCTGT